TCATTTGCATGCATTTTAGGTCTTTAGGCATTGTTTAGGACTTTAGGAGATTGCATTAGGTCCAAGAGAGTTTTGCATGTTTTGGAGTGTTAAACAGGTGCTTTTGGAGCCAATTTGGAGTGGATGATGTGATTCAGATGAAGAAATGGAGTTGGAATGATCAAAAATGGTGAAAAGGAGCAATTTTGGGTTTCTCGGCAAAATGGTGTACTGAAGGTCGAAGGTTCTCGACCAAAATCCTTCCCGCGGGTAGCTTTCTCGGCCAATAACACGTACCGCGGTCAAGTCTCTCGGCCAAAATCTCCGGGTGCAGACACGTTTCCGAAATCGCCTGTCCGGGGAACCTTCCGGTCAGATTTAGCTGTCGGAGTCTTCATAAAGGTTGGAGATAATTGAGTCAAGAGTTCATAACAGTTGGAATCAAGGCATTTGGACCACAGAACTGAAAGATATGGTAATCGGAAGACGAACAGGTCTCGCATTCATTCCGGAGCAATCCGATACCCCTGAATGATCGCCTGTCCGGGGAGCCTTCCGGTCCGATTCAGACGGCGGGTGCTTCATAGAAGTTGGAGAGAATTGCATCACGGTCTCTTAGCAAGTAGAATCGTGGAATTCGGACGCGTGAGCAGAGAGATAAGCTTGTCGGAAGGAACCCCAGTCTCGCAGGTATTCCGGACCGAGCAGATCAGTTCTAAAGGATGCGAAGGACGGTGCACTTCCAGGCCGATTTAGTTTCCGGGTCCTTCATGAGAACCATAGACATTTGAGCCTTCTTTCCAGAACGTCCAAGAGCATTCAATTCGGATCTATGAGCAGAAAGATACAGTCTCCGGAATGGACACATGTCTAGACGCCTCTCTCTGGTCGTGTACATGCACTGCAAAGATGTGCCCTCCAGGAAGCCTTACACTTCCCAAGCACCGAAGCTTTCTTCACAAAAGTTGGAGATAAATGAGTCCTCTGTCTTCTGCAACCGAAATCATTCAATTCGGACAAGTCTCATAGGAGTTACACTCTCCGGAATGCGAAGTGGTCTAAGCTGCTCTGGATGCTGCGAGTTGGAGAGGAAGGAGACCAAGCCGCAGCAACACTCGCAAATCACTCCGACTTGAGCCTGCGACCTAGGTGCAATAGAGACCAACCCGCACAGTTTGTACATTCCCCAGAAACCGCCTTAGCCCTGCGAGTTGGAGAGGAAGGAGACCAAGCCGCAGCAACACTCGCAAAACACTCCTACTTAGGCGTGCGGCTAAGACAAGGCGATTCAGGCTTCACAAGACAAGTCTTCATCTACTGCGACTTAGGTGTGCGACCTGGGACATACTGGACTGACCCGCAGGATTTCCACTTGACCCAACTGAGCCGGGTCAGTACCCAGTTTGTCCTGGGCTGACCCGGTCCATTAGCACTAGGTATATATAGTTTTTTGGGAGAAAAAAACCCAAGGAGATCATCTTCTCTCTTAGTTTCTCTCTAGTTTTCTTTCCTTTTTAGTGTAAAAACGTTTTGGATTAAGAGAGATCTCAAGGATTTAATCAATCTAAGTCTGTTTGTCATCATCTCATCATTTCATTTCTGCTTCTAATCATGATTAACATCATCTCTTGCAAAAGATTAGATGTGTTCTTCATGATTAGTGAGTAGTCATCTTTTAAACTTCTAGGTGTGTAGATTAGGGTGCTTAGATGTTTGATTGGTGATGTTTAGGGTTTAGATTCTCATTCCATTTCCTTAGTTAGTTGCTCCTAATGCCAGATTTCCTTGGGAAAGTGAAATCTGGGTTCATAGGCATTTCATGCACCAAAAGTGTTTGATGAAATGCCTGAATGAGCTAACTTAAGGGTTTATGCCTTTTTCATCATGGGAATGATTTGTTAAATGCATGAATGACATATTAGAACTGTTTCTTAATGCTCATTGATTCATATTTCACAAATGATGATTTGGTTTGAAAGTGGATTAGTGTAGAGATTAATGCCTTCATGAGAGGATTAGTCTAGATTAGAGTTCTAAGTTGAAATGTTTGAGATCATGTGATTGCTTGTTATGTCTTTCTGTATAAGATTCAGTCTTCTTGGTTGAGAGATTGTTTGGTCACTTATTAGGCTTGATGCATTATGCTTGCTGATTGCTTGATTATATCTAATGGTTGTTAGACTTGATTAAGTGATTTGCAAAGGGATTATTGTCATGGGAATGAATTAATCTGATTAAGAAGCCTAGACTAAAGAGTAGCAAGTGTTGCATTATGTTCTTAGCATCATGATTCAATATCTAAAGCACCCTAATCAATGATCACATCTAGAGGTTTAGCTTTTATCATTTGCTTAATCACCATCATCTTGTTTTGTTTGCTTGCTTAGTTCATTAATCATAGCTTGTTTGTTTCTTGTTTTATGCTTTCTTGTTGCTGGTTTCACAAAACTCATCTTTGATTACTTGACTTAAGAACCTATCACATAAACTAGTGCCTAACTACCACACATATGGATTGACACCCCTTATACTACTTTGACAAGGGGATTGATAACCCATCTAAGGCTTTAAAAACCTTAGTTATCAGCGTGCAATCTTGCTGAAATCTTTGATGAAGCGACGATAGAAGCCTGCATGACCCAGAAAACTTCTAACCGATTTCGCAGAATCGAGTGGTGGCAAGCTCGTCATGACGTCGATCTTCGCACGGTCCACTTCGATACCAGCTGCAGAAACCTTGTGTCCAAGCACAATCCCATCTCTGACCATAAAGTGACACTTTTCCCAGTTAAGGACCAAGTGTTTCTCTTCACAGCGAGCCAGAACCTTGCAGAGATTATCCAGACAGTCCTTAAAAGATGATCCGTAGACTGAGAAATCATCCATAAAGACCTCCATGAAATCCTCAATCATGTCAGTGAAGATGGACATCATACATCTCTGAAACGTCGCAGGAGCATTACAGAGTCCAAAGGGCATCCTGCGATATGCGAAAGTGCCGTATGGACATGTAAAGGTGGTCTTCTCCTGATCGTCTGGGTGGATAGGGATCTGGAAAAATCCTGAGTACCCATCGAGGAAGCAGTAGTAGGGATGGCTTGCAAGTCTCTCCAGCATCTGATCAATAAAGGGCAATGGAAAGTGATCTTTCCTGGTCGCTGCATTCAGCTTCCTGTAATCGATGCACATCCTGTGTCCAGTCACTGTGCGCGTCGGAATCAACTCATCCTTGTCATTCTTCACAACAGTAACCCCTCCTTTCTTAGGAACCACGTGCACAGGACTCACCCAGGCACTATCTGAAATTGGATAGATGATTCCAGCTTCCAGCAGCTTCATGATCTCCTTTTTGACGACGTCTTTCAGGTTAGGGTTCAACCTGCGCTGGTGCTCAATCGACGACTTTGACTCATCCTCCAGGTGGATTCGGTGCATGCACAATTCTGGTGAGATACCTGAAATATCATCAAGAGAATAGCCAAAAGCTTTGCGATGCTTGCGCAGCTTGCTCAGTAGTAAGGTAACCTCAGCATTGTTCAAAGAAGAATCGATAATGACTGGATAAGTAGAATTAGAGCCCAGGAAGGCATACCTTAGTCCTGCAGGGAGTTGTTTGAACTCAATCTTAGGGGCTTTCTCCTCACTCCAGTCGGATAACTGCTTCACCTTCGCAGGAGTCTCAAGCTGTTCAACCTGCGATGCCAGCTGCATCGCATGCTCGCTGGAGTCCAACATCTTTGAGTAAGATACTGAAATTTCGTCCAAGTGTTCGGCCTCAGAGGCAAACGTGGTCAGAGCTCTCTCAAGTGGGTCTGTAGGCAGCATCTCATGGAGAAACTCCTCAGCAAACTCTGTGAGAGTATCGACATAGAAGGTCTGACCATCGATGGTGGGCTTCTTCATCAGCTTGTCCATGTCAAAGTTCATCACCAGATCTCCAACATTCAGAGCAATCCTGCCTTTCCTGACATCGATAATAGCACCTGCTGTAGCTAGAAAAGGTCTCCCAAGGATAAGAGGATCTTTAGGCTCCTCTCCATACTCCAAAACCACAAAGTCAGTCGGTATCATGCAGTCTCCAACCTTGATTGGAACATCTTCTAGCACCCCTTCAGGTATCCTTGTCGAACGATCAGCTAGGATGAGGGAGATCCTTGTTGGCTTGAAATAAGTCATGCCGAGATTGACAGCTACCGAATAGGGCATGAGATTAACACTTGAACCCAGATCACACAGCGATCTCTTGAATCTCTCTGTGAAGATAGAGCAATCCAAGACAAAGCTTCCTGGATCAGACAGCTTCTCTGGAATTCGGTTCTGAATCACTGCACTGACTTGCTCAGATATCATCATCACTCCCTGTTCATGGCTGAGATTATTGGTTACCATTCGCTTCACATAACGTCTGATGACAGGAGTGATTTTTACAGCATCAACCAAAGGTATCTCAATCACAAGCTTTTCCATCAGAGCTTTGCATCGTGCATCATCAAGCTCTTGCTTGGACTTCCTAGGGCTCCTTGGGTAAGGAACTTTAGGTTTGTAGACTTTCTCCTCTGCAGATTTCGGATTCGGAATATCAACAGCTTCGCTCTGCAATTGGTGACGCGCGACACTAGTGATGGTGTCGCTCGTCACCGGCTCTGCAATCTCAGGAATTTCTTCAGAATCTTCTAAGTCCACGACTTCAGGTGCAGGAGGCGTCTTCGTGGGCTCAGAACTCAGATTTTTACCAGTCCTCAACGTGATAGCACTGCAGTGATGCCTTGGATTGGTGTCAGTCTTCCCAGGAAGAAAACCCTCTTGCCTTTTAACAGAACCTGCAGTTTGGGCTACCTGTGTATCGAGCTGCTTGACATGGGTGTTCAGAACTTCGATTTTTCCATTCAGATCGAGGTAGAGAGCATCCATCTTCCCATTAAAGTCCACGGTGAGCTTCTGCTGACCTTCCAGAATCTGTTCCAGCATAGACTTCATCTCATTGTCAGGATTTTGAGGTTGAGATGAAGGAGTGCTGTAGTTTCTGGAAAAAACTGTTGCTCGAAAAAGGTTTCTGGTACTGAGGCTTAGGCATGTAACCAGAGAAGTTCTGATTACTGTTGAAGGTATTCCTCTGATTGTTTCCACTGTAATTTCCACTGTAGCTTCTGTTACCTTGCTGATTACCAAACCTCTGACCCTGAAATCCTGATCCACTGACAAAGTTGACATCCTCTTCCTCAGCTGCATCCTCAGGTTCGAAACTATCCACCTCCTGTGCGAATCTGACAGATTTCTTACCCACTAAAAGGCTGTGCACAGAATCAAGTTTAGCTTTCACCTCAGCGATCTGCGATCTATCCATGTTCCCAGCTTGCTTCTTTCGCTCTAGATCTGCATTCTTGGTGCTATTGCTGGATGCCAAGTTTTCGATGAGCTCAACAGCTTCGTCTGGGTATCTGGTGTTGAAGTTCCCATTGCTTGCTGCATCAAGCGCCATCTGATACCTCCAGTCGATACCTCTGAAAAAGATACCCAGCAACTGCACATCGCTGAAGCCATGGTGAGGGCAGTCTCGCTGGTACGATTTGAATCGCACCCAAGAAGCCTTGAACGCTTCAGTAGGGTCCTGAGAGAAAGTCGAGATCTTAGTCCTCAACTCCTCAGACCTAGCATCGTCGAAGAAGTTGTGCAGGAAGGCGTTCCTGGTCTCCTCCCAAGTGGTGAGTGATCCTGGCTCCAACTGCTTCAACCAGTTAGCTGCTTCTCCAGCAAGAGAGTAAGGAAACAGCTTGCGGAGGAGGAAATCATTGGACACTCCATTGTATTTGATGCTGGTGACCAAGTCCTCAAACCTCTCGATGTGATCCATAGGGTGCTCATGAGAGTGGCCATGGAAAGGATGCTGACCCACAAGAGTGTAGTACACAGGCTTCAGCTCAAAATCGTTCCTTTGAAACGCAGGAGCGCGAATCGCAGAACGATTTGCATAGAACTGCTCAGGCCTGTTGTAGTCTCCAAGTGTTCGTCCACGTCCAGCTGCAGGTGCAGGTTCCCTTACATTCCGAACTTCTGGAGCGTTCCTCTGATGTGGAACGATCACAGCATTACCACGCGGTGCAGGTAGTGGATTCTGGTCAACAACATCCACTGGTAAAGGAGCTGGTGGAATGATGTTACCATCTCCATCAATCCTTTGGCCTCTCGCATTGCACAGATGACCCTCTCGGTCTCTCCAGGTTCCATCATCATCACGAACAAGTCCATTGGCGTTTTCCATCATTGCCGGATCTCTTGCTTTCCGCCTCGTTCGCTCTAACTCAGCTAGCTGTTCGTTGCTCAAATTCACTAGCGGGATGTCCTTGTTGCTCCTAGTTCCACGAGTATGCATAAACCTGAAACACCAAAAACAAAGAGAGAAAACGAAAATAAGTAAACTAGGTTAAAGAAAAGAAGGTGTCGCGCGACACCACAAGTGGTATCGCTCGACACTAAGTCGAAAAACTTAGTCGAAACTCAAAAACTAGGTTTAATGGCGAAATCAAGTCCCCGGCAACGGCGTCAAAACTTGATATGCTCAAAGTTTAATCCCTAAGCTACTCTGCAAGAGCACAGATGTGCAGTTGTAGTATGTAGGGGTCGAACCACAGAGACAAGAGATCACTCAATAAACCTTATAGAGATTGAATTACGCTAAGCAGAAATATTGTAAATAAATAGCAATGCAACAGAATTAGACTAAGCAGCAATAAAAACGGTTTGTAAGATTCAGATGGATGGAGATTAGGCTTAGGGAGTTTCTCAGGAAATCAATGCATGCAGATCAATCGATTAGTCAGGGTTCAGGTTTAAGCACAGTTCTTGAACTCGAATCACAGAATTATAATTAACCAACTTCCGTTGTGAGAATTATCTAAGTCAAAATCCTAGAATTCCAAATTCCTTTGCAAACCCTAAAGATTTAAACCAACTTTAATGCTCAAGTTCGATATGTTCACAAAGTATCTAAACCAAATTCCTTTGCGAATAGCTACTTTGCTCACTCTAGGTTCTTTCCAGTTATTCAATTACACTTCCGTGTCAATTAAGCAACCTAAGATCTAAGTTCTAGGTGGCCAATCCAGAATTAGCTTTAAGAACAACCTATGGTGAAGAACTAAATAGATTATGAACCCTAACTAACCAATCAATCTAACATCCAATGAAATCCTTTATGAGAACCCTAAACCTAACAAGCAAACTACTCAGACATGGAGATTGAAGCAATAAGCATGATTGAATAACTTGCAGTAAGCAGTAAATAGATTAATAAACAGGGGTTCGAAATCTTCTCTCTCCGGAACAGAGTTTCAGACTTGTCTCCCCAAAAACTCTCAAAAACAAAAACTCTCTCTAAGAAAATCTAAGGTTAACGTAAAAAGGGAATAAAAATCCTATATATATCTCTAAGACACGTTTTGGGCTTCCTTGAAAACGTTTGGGCCCAACTCCTTCAAATAGGAAACAAAATCGCCTTTTCCTTATTTCTCTAACAAGTGTCGCGCGTCACTCTCCATGGTGTCCAGCGTCACTAAAGCACAAAATCCATACTTGACGAATTTGATCCTGATTAAGCTCCAAGGTGCTCCAAAGTCTCCAGTTAAGCTCCAAACGTACCTATGACCTGAAAAGACTCCAAAAGACTCGAAAAACACTAAAAAGACTCTATAAATAAGACATATACCATGGTTAAAAACCATAAAAACCATGATATATCACACATTGCCACGGCTTGGATGTGACCGTGGCAAAGAGACCATGGCAAAAGCCAAGGTTCTGCTGCCTCAAAACATGTTGCCACGCCTTGAATCTACCCGTGGCATTCTTCTCGTGGCAAAAGCCGAATGGTGGTCTATTCAAAATTCAACTTGCCACGCTTCAATTCTGGGAATGGCAATCTCCCCATGGCAATCACCGAAGGTTGGCATCCAAGAAAAAGCCTCATGCCACGCCTTGTTCAAGCAGTGATTCATGGTCGTGGCAAACTCTGAACTTAGCCAAATTTTGCATTTCCTTGCATCTTGTCCTTCATTCCTTGAGGCCAAAGAACACCAGGTCATCTGTTACCTGAACACACTCCACAAGACACATCAAAACATCCTAAAAACACCAAAAGAAAGCATTAAAAAGTATATTTACAAAGGCTAAGCTTGGGATGTCTCCCAAGAGCACTTTGTTTAAAGTCACTAAGTTTGACTTTGCAAAATCTGTTCTTAGTTGGGGTGAGGTGGAGTACTGATCCTTTTCAGCACTTCAATGGTCCTGAGCAAGAAAGCTGAGTTGTGTTGCTGCTTTTTGGAACCATTGGACCCTTGTCCACGAGATCCCATCTTGAGACCTTTGTCCACCAGCTCTTGAATACCATCTGGGTCTTTATCAAAGATGGCCTTTGTGAGACATGCCCTCACTTCAGCAAACAGACCTGGCTTCCCATTGCAATCCAGCTTATATTTCAGAGATCCATCATCATCAACCCAAGGAGTGAGATCAAAGTCTTGAGAAGAAAGATCAGGTTCTATGCTCTTATCTTTTGATGCTGAGCCATCACTCTTTGTGTTCATCATCTTTAGATCATCAAGTGTAGGAGACCATGAGAGCAAGATGTCTTCTTCCCTGATCAATGGATGTTCAGTCCCATCCTTGTAAACAGAGTTGGTGTGAGGTTCTTTTTCCATTTCCACAGCTGAGAGAGATTGGGATCCACCTAGAATTCCAGCAGTGCCCACATACTTCATCTCAAGTACCTTAGGGGGTTCTATCTCTTGAACAACTGATCCACAAAATTCAGCCAAAGGAGGTGTAACAGGGTAAAAGACATCCTTATCCACTTTTGAAAGCACCACTCTTTGAGTATCAAAGTCAATCATAGCACCAGTGGTGTTGAGAAATGAAGTTCCAAGCAATAAGGGGAGCTCTTTGGTCTTCTTCATCTTCATGATGACAAAATCAGTGGGAATTATGCATTCACCAACCTGTAGTGGATAATTTTCCAAAACCCCATATGGTTTCTTGGAGTAGGAATCTCCAAAGGTGATAGAAGAAGGGTATGAAGTTATAGACTTGACCTTTAGCTTCTCCATCATGTCCTTAGACATTATACTAACACTTGAGCCTAAATCACACAAAGCATTCTCCACTTTAAAGTTGCCAAGAGTGCAAGAGATGGTGAACTTCCCTGGGTTGCCTAGTTTTGGGAGGGAGGTGGGCTTCATCTGAGTTGATTCAGAGGTGGAGGCACTATCTGTTGGCTTTGCTTGACCAGTTGGCAGCTCCTTTGTTTCAATAGACACTGAATCATTCCCTTGCTGAACAGAAAAAACTGAACCGGCTGCCCCCACACTTTCATTCTCAATGTCCTCATTGAGTTCATGTAAGAAGCCCATGAAATCCTCTATAATGGCATTCTCATCCACATGAGTTTGTGCAGGTTCACTAGAGACTTGACCATAGAAAAGGTCTTTTATCTCTTGCACAGCAGCTGAGTGGTCATCATTGGAGTAGATGGCATTGCAGTAATCTTTTGAGTTTTGAAGAGCTTTACCAGGAAGAGATACTTGTGGTTCAAAAGTGCAGATGCCCTTGTTCTTTTTAATAGCCTTTATTTCAGCTCCTAGTGTCTCCAGGTCGGATACCATCTTTTGTTGTCCTATTAAGAGCTGTTGGAGAACAACATTTAAATCAGGACTTTGTTGAACAGGTGGTGGGGCAAAACCAGGAGGAGGAGCCTTTGGCTGTAGGCTGACTTGATTTGTGAAGCTATTCCCTTGATTCTGAACAGTTGGTTGCTGAAAACCCTGTTGACCTTGGGAGTTACCTTGGTACTGATTCTGTTGGACAAAGCTTTGAGGAGTGTATATTTGGTCTTGGGGGTTGGCCACATTGTTGCTCCTATTAGGACAAGTTCTGGTGTTTGTTGACGTTGTTGTAACCATTGAACTTGTTTTGATTCTCAATGAAGT